ACTGCAACATCACAGCTAGTTAGGCCACACTGAAAATATCTGATAAATCAGTAAATAAAAAGAACTGGAAAAAGRGGAGTTGTCCAGCAGCTGAGCTCCATCATCAATAAGAAGTGTGGGAACATTTTTTATTTATTATCATTATTGATTTATTTTTATTATTATCTATTTGCAGGAACCGATCGCCTAAATTCCTGCAGTATTGTTGAACAGAAGATGTGAAACAACACATGAAGACACGTCTGCCTTTCATGTCATATTTGTAAAACTGACAGCCAGTTTTCTGTCGTGGCATCTTGGACTGGGRTGACTCAAAGTCCCATTAGAGGGATATTTTGCTGACAGATTAAGCCGACTGCAATAGCTATCTGCAACGCTTTAAGCAAAGACTGAGCGCCATCTGTTAGAACTCAGATTAGGTTTTGGGGATGACGTTTCAGCTCAGTGTTTGTAATCTTCCAGAATAATAAATGAGGAAGACAGTTCCTCACATTCTTGCTTTATTTTGTTTCAACCCACTCAGTTCTCACCTGAGCTTGCAGGGAGGCGATGGTGTCTTCCAGCTCCTGTCTGAGCTCAGCCGGCATCAAACCTTTGATCTTCTCCTCGTACTCCTGATGCACCATCGTCACCTGAGAACACAGAGGAGGTTAAATCAGATCCAATCCAATCCAGACCTCACATCTGTTGAGTCATAAACCACACAGAGCGAAGTGATGCTCCTTCCACTTCATCACAAARGAAGAGTCGTTTACAGATTAGAAAGATGTACAGTCATATAAAAACATCATTAATATGTCATAATTCCTGCTGAGTAAGCATTTCTGCCTCCCTGACTCCCACATGCAGCAAGCAGAGCAGCAGCTCTCTCTCCCTCTCTCTCTAACACATACAGACTGTGGGTTTCCCCTCTTTATTCATGGCTCTTTGCTTTTTCACAGCTCCTTCACATCTCCACAGGGGGTCCGCAGGCTGGAACCACTCCACGCTGCACAACACCCCCTCTACTGGCTGTCGGGCAACTACAGCTGAATCTGACACAAGCACTTAACGGGCTCCTCAACAGCTGGACTTGGAAGCGGACAGGAGCTGAAACACATGAAARGGCAAAGCAGCTCAATAGCTAGCTATCTCCACCGGAGGAGGACTGGAGGAAGTCTGTCTGGGGCTAAATTACACTCCACTGAAACCAGAGTCTGATTATAGAAGATGGAAATGGTTTAGGTTAGCGCAAACCCCCACTTTTTACCCACAAACYCACATGAATGGACACACACAAATGCAGCTGTTAGACATGCACAAATGAAGCTTTTACTGTACTGTAAAAAACAACAACAATTACAGAATTCTAAAAAGTTGCTGACTCAATTAAAGACCTAGCATTCCTTAGAGGAATGCATATCGCCCTATGCCTTTAATGATATAGCCATTTGGCTAAAGCCTAAAAATAACYTTAGGCAACAATCCAGCTTTGAGTAAGGCTGTGTCTCATATCATTGCTTGCAGCCGACGTATGGTACATTTGCTGGCCGAGTCGTAACGTAGGCTGTCCCAATTTGTAGGCGCCTACTCATGCAGCCAATAAAACCCGGAAAAACGTAGGCCGCATCCGAGTACCCTACGCGACCGACCACGTCCTAGGTTTCATTGCACAGTCAGCTAACTAAACAGGAAAACAAAAACAGCAGAGTTTWTTTTTTACGGCAAATTTTGGAAATTTATCACGGACCGATAAAATTTGCTTTTAAATGTTTAGGGACGTAACTGATGAAATTTGAGCTGGAATAAGATGTTAAATAAAATACAGTAACAAACACTGATACAGCTAAAACCAAAATATTAATGTTTTTTAATTTATATACGTTTAACCCTTTTTTTAAAATAATACTGAATTTTGTGATTACAGCCTGAAAAAAACAACTGAAGGCATGTGATATAAAACATATCACAGTGGTAACAGGGCAGTGTGTYGTCACYCTAGCGTACCAAAGACTAGACCGTCTCATTTCACAACCGTTACTGCAGCCTACACTGGCGGCCTACGACCCATGTAGGGTGTGGCCAGCATGGGCCACAGTTTACGTGGGCTGCAACCCCTGAATTGAGACACAATCTATTGTATGTGTTGCGTAAAATTCAATAAGTAGTAGATATTTTTTCTGGTTTGCTTTGGAGGCCTTTTTGAAATGGATCGTCTCTAAAAGTCGCAGACAAACAGTCAAGAATTACTTTCTGAAAGTTTTACTGAAACAGTAGTTCATGAGTTAATATTTAACTCCAACAGGTAAGTGCCAAAGTTTTAGGCTACATTTCTCACTCACATATTTCAATGTGGAACCAGGACGAGGGGAGAGTCTGGGCAGCCGTAATGTGTCTGGCAGAACCAACGTCCAGCTAAGTCTTTCAAGTGCAGGGAGCGTAAATGAAGTGATGGGGGAGGGTTAAAAAAAAGGAGATCAGCTTCKCTAAAATAATCTTCCTGTTGTGGATTTAACTGATTGTTCTGGCTTTGGCTAATTAATCTTCCTGGGCACAATGAGAGGGATTGGGGAAGCACTTCAAAGCAACCCTCGGTATAAATGATCCCTACACGGAGCGGCTCACTTTGTCTCGGCACAGTGTGCAGCAGATTAGTCTGGCACAACTTTGCCAGTTTTTCCTGCCCCCCCCTCCACCTCCCCCCATCGTTCATTTTAAAGTGTTGGACCAATTACAGAGGGTTAAAAATCCATCAGTTTACAAAAATGTTTTCTTTTCCTGCTGTGTGAGAATGAGGTCAAGGATAATTTGAAAGAGATCTTTCCAAACAAGTGGCAAAAAAACAGGTTGTACAGGCTTTAATCTTAACGTCTAGAGTTTGAACGACAAAAAAAAAAAAGGATCTTTCTAAATGTCTATATCTATCTATAGCAGCTTCTGTAGTCATAACAGAACAGCAGGCCAAGACAAAACACACTTCACTACTTCAGACCAAAGCAATAAACAATGGTTGAATAAACACATCCCTTACCAACCGCCCTGAATATAAGCCTTAGATTCTTCAAAAGCCAAACTCCTTCGTTTTGCATTCTTGATTCATGTATAGTGCAGTTACCGCAGCAATGAGAGGTCCGCTCGGCCTAAATTATAAGCTCTTTTGCGGCAATGCWGTCTCCATTTTCTGTCCTGTTCATACATTGGAATGAGCAGGCCTACAACAGAGTATTCACAGGGACTCAAAGAGCGACGGAGGCGACAGGAAACTGCAGAAACAGACATTAAGGTGATGGAGTGTCCGGAGTCCTTGAAGGAATGCATGTCGCCCACCGCCTTATATGTCAGAGTTTTAAACTAAGATCAGCTCACATTGAGAAATGATGGAGCTGTTGTCATTTTGGACAAACCTTGGACTCTGAAGTAGTACTGTGCTCAGCGAATGTGTTGTGAATGACTCGCAGCTACTACCACATCAAATTTTAGCTTAATGTCTGTAAAACTGACTCAGTTATCATGGTGTTGTGACCATGACCATGTGACCATTTGATCTACTGTAGCAGCAGTGGCTCTAACRTGAACGGGCAATCATCTGGATTTACCATTACTGTACATGTTGGCAATAATGTAATAACTGTAAAAACTATTAGTGATAAAATAAACAAAAATATAACAYAAGAGAAACAGGAAAAACCCCGTCTCATTTCAGTGAGTCGTCAGCAGATTTTTTCTTATTTACCTCGATGTGGTCTGACCAGAACTGAAGCTAATAATGTAACAGTTTAAAATTAAAATAAGCTTATTACACTGACGGGATCACAGTTCATTATTGAACTGGTTAGCAGATTTTAGCTTCTGGAGCAGATATTGTTATACAGAGTGTAGAACTGCTGAAACATGCTACAATTTAGCACAAATTACTAAATATTATAAGCTGGTTTTACATCTGATTTATGTAATATTTACACAGTGTGAAATAATATGATTTGACTCATTTTAAGTTTCTTTTAGACAAACCTGACCTGTTCAGAAGGTGATTAGCTAAGATCAGTAGACAGGTTTCATCCTAGGGGATCACCAAGTCTGCAGGGAGCATTTTCTAAGTGTCAACTGGTAAACATTTATTATTATTATTTATGAGAGGTAAAAAATAATATACTTTATTATTATTATATATTTATTTTTGTTAGTTGAAGTCATAATTTTTCAACTACCTAAAAAGTCCAAGTTATTGGCTGACTACGGATTTAGTTTAAATAATTTAAATCTAGTTTTAAACTTATTTGAGGGCCAGCTGAAGAAAATTAAAAATAAAATTAAAATTATTACGAATTTGTGAACCAGATTCAGTTGGGCTTATACAAAAAGCTGCTGTGTCAGCTGTGAGCTGTCGCCCCGTTTGGATGCCATTTTTGCTCCTCCATGTCGACACAGACAGTGGACAAGACAGYCATGGCTCAGTCTAGTGATGTTTAACTCTATGGCTAATATTGATTAGCTCTGGCGGCCATCTTGATTTGGATTGAATGACAGTGAATCAGTTGTAGATATACAGTATGTTCAATGATTGCTTTTTAAGAGCTTTGAAATCAATGGTTGAGATATTTTGCTAACAGACAGATGAACAAACAACACACACAGACATGGAGGTCAGTGGAGGCTGATAACTGCTCAAGACTTTCTAAACTGCAACGTGTGCGAGTGGAATACGCAATCCGTCTGCCTCACTAACAGTTAGAGCAACAAAATTCCTGACTTCAACACGTTCCTCAGTGAGGTTAAAAATGCAAAACAGAAACATCTGCCTCCTCAAAGATGCCCGGCTCCTTCTCTTAGAGACATTGGCGTTTCTTTCCAAGCGCCATCTCTGTTTTCCTTTCATGCAAACACTTTTTTCTCCTCTTTCAACATCTTTTTCTTACAGCAATAGGCCRGTTTGCTTTGCTGACAGGTAGAAAGAGACAAGATCTGAGAAGAAAAGGCTCCTTGACATTAAAAAAAAAAAGGAAAGAGAGAGAAGCCTTTGAAGAGTGTCGCTGATCAAATCCATCAGAAAATTTTTGGTCATTGACAGACTCTAGATGAAAGTATAATAAAGAACAGAAAAGAAAAGGAAAAAAAAGAAAGGAAACACTGGAGAAGAAATGTGCCACTGCTCCCCCTTGTAATGAAAGAGGACCTTGACTTCTTGAAGACAAGAAAAGAAAAAAAAATCAGGTTTCATCTGCACAGCTTCTTTTGAAATGAGATTTTGTTTGTTCCTGATGAGGCACAGTTTTGAGGACTGTGAGGAGCGGCAGTCGTTTTTCCCCTCCCAGTCATCTTAAAACGACAACATCTCATCTATATATAGTCTTCAGATTGCGGTTGTGACTTTCTCTTGCGTTTCGTGCCGTCACATGGCATGGGTTTTTGTGACAGCTGCCAGCAGAAAGGAACAAACCCTAAACACTTTCAACCTTCAAATGAAGTTTGTCACGTCGCTGCGATGCTTGATGTATGCTAATGAAGTTGGTGAGAAGGAGGGTGAGGTGGAGTCGCTTCTGGAAAAGACATTTTATACACCCCAACTTGTTTCTAAGCAAAAGAAAAAAAAAAGTGCTGTCGGGAACAAGAGGGTACATCAAAAAATGCCACAGTTCACAAAGTTTGCACCTCCACATCCACGGAGCTGACACGCAGCAAGTTCACTAAAGAGCGATTTAAAAATCAAAAAGGCTCGGCTCTTGGGGGGGGGGGGGGGGTGCTGCTGCTTGACAAAAGGAAAAGGAAAAGGAGAAAAGACAGAAAGAGATAGAGATTAGAACTGGCTACAGATCTCTGCAGTAGTTACAGTACAGAACAGATTGGCTGCTGCTGATGTAACGTTGCTCAACAAAAACAAGCTTGTCACGATTATTACGCTTGTAGCACGAGAAAACTGATCATTTTAGATTATTTTGAAATTTAAAAGACCTAAATGAATACATGCCTTTTATGCCAGGAGTTTAGACAAAGATCATTTTGTTTTGAGAAAGGACAACACTACACTCTGAGGATGTGTTGTGGATGGATCACAGCTACTACCACAACAAAACTAGGCTCCAAATCTGTCATTTTCATCAATTACGGATTTGGTTTGATTTAATTATTTAAAAGYGGACAGTCTAATTTAATAAAACACAACAATTCARAAGTTAAAGGGGCAATTTCATGTAAAATCAACTTTTTTGAGTTTTATATCATCTTATAATATTATGCTCTCATAAAAAAACATGCCCAAAGCCTTGCTTTGACTCATTCATGCATGTTTGAGAAATCCTGCAGCGTTTTTAGGCAGCCATGCTGAGGAGCAAAACGACAGGTGGGGACCAGAAATGCCTTTGGGGGTCAGAAACGCCCCTGGGACGTGTCTTTAAGCCGAGCTTCCTCATCATGGAGCACACCTCCCCACCCCGCCCATGACTCCGACAGGCTCTCGACAGTAACAAAGCAAACGAGTGAAAGTGAAACTTAAACTGTCTGCTGAGCTCCACAGCTCTTTTCAGATTCAAAATACCTTTGAGGAAATGTATTTTCAGACGCCAAGTAAACTGCATCATAGCGRACGAACCCCCGCACCGAAATGGACGGGACTCTGGACGGGACAGAAGTAGAAGGTGGTTCTTAAAGAGACAGAGGGCAATTTCAAGGCGTTTAGAAGAGGAAGTGATGATTTTCTATTTAAACATAAAAACGGCATTTTAATAACAACTAAAGATGACTTAGATACTTTATTATGGTATAGTATTTAAACATATGTCTGAGAAACTCATAATATTTCCCCTTTAAAAAAGACAGAATTAGCCAAAAAAGCTGTTTTTTCTGTAGTCCCCTGGTCATGATGTTTAAACAGCAATAAAATACAAGAACATAAATATAACACAAAAACACAATTAATAAGGACAATAAATTAGACTAAACAAATCCAAACACACTAATTATTATTGCACTACATTATTGCTAAAAATAAAAATACAATACAKATTTACAACAGAAAGCATCACATCGACAGAGCAAAAGGTTTACTTTACATTTGTTGCATTTTTTAGGCTGAATGCTTTATAAAAACATCATTCAGATAAATGCATCAAGAGGTCATGTTTGCTTTTTTTTCTTTCTATTTCAGATGATGACAAGCTTAAGGAGAGCTGACAGCACTCCAGCCACGCAGCGAGCTGATGATGATGATGATGATGATAGGTCATTTTAGAGGTGAAGGAGCCTCTTTAAAGCAAAGCAACATCTGTGTGAAGTCTGGGCAGAAATGCTGGTTCAGCATGACAGAGATCGCATTACAAAACATACAACACACGTCTCAGAGAATAAACAAGAGGAATACGGAGGATGAGTATGTGCTCAACAATTAAAGTGCGTATACGAGGTTCGCTCGGGGGAAAAAAAACTACACTTTAATGCACACACACCTGACTTCAGGTGAGTCGATTCTTAAAACACAGAAACATCTTTTTCAAAATTCTAAAATGTTTTCTGTTTTCGATCCTCATTTGATTTCTGATCGCTTCTTCGCTGCCAAGTTTGTCACAGAAAAACAGTCTGTGTTAAATTAGTGACGTGTGTGTGTGTGTGTGTGGTCATGATTCACGAACTGTCAGGAGCCTAAAATTGGAACCAAAAGTTTTGTCACATTCCTAATGTTMTTTTGTTGCATTCTTTGCTTCAAGATGGTGTGAAATGAAATCACCATGCTGCAGCTTTTATACCAGAACAAATACAAACACTTGCCAGCACCTGCATCGAAGACTGTACTATTTAGTGGGTGTGATCACAGTAAAAACGCTTGAAATCAATCCTGAAATCTGTTTTGTRTTTGAGGTTACAGTAAATGGTACAACGTTCTGCAGAAAAGAAAACAARAAAAATCAGAACCCAGCAGATTTCCCTCCAGCTGATCTGTGTTAAAGTGTAGTTCAGCTCATTAACTCTGCACAACCAGACTAAAATTCTGTGTAAAGTTTCTGTTTTCAGGTTTAATGCAGTGCAAAGGGTTTAACATGGTGATACTGTTGCTGAAGCAGCAGCTAGCTGTAGCATTTCTGGTGCCTTATGCACCTGCAGCTGAAACATAAGCTTTCTGCTTAAATAACTTTGTAATGTGAAACTGTGGGCAGTGTTTGCTTCAACCACTACGACATTTTTCACACTGTCAATATTTTTTATGGCTGCAACCCATTTTGGTCTTGGATTTGTTCAGACTAGTCATTATCTACTCAATCCAGGCAGAAGTAAACTATTTCTCCAAATTGAGGTCCTTTAAAGCTC